AATGCATTACTTGAGAAAAAAGTTGTGTAATTTCATGCATTACATTGCATTACATGGCATTATCTTTCACAGATTGTTGGAGATTTCGCAAAAGCAGAATTTAAGAGTTCTGGATTTATTAAGAACATAATCATTTGGATATTGCCATTTTTTATTTGAAAAGCATTACTGTAAAAGTGTTTTATTGTTGTCAAAACATCAATTAATACCTTGTCATGATTAAATAACAGAAAATTGACCATTGCCATAAAACACTAATTAGTTTGTTTTACAATCAATCTTTTTCACCATTTTGACACTTGGTCATAAATTTATTAATTAATTAGGAAAGAAATTCTCAGTATACTAAATATTTTTGATTGGAATTAAATAAAACAAATGTATATTTATAAAAGTGAAGTTAACATTAGTTAAAATAAATATTAGACTTCATTTCTTTGATTTCTTTTTTTGAGAAAACACAGAGATGTATACCTTGAAACCGTTATGATGTTAAAATGAAATAGTTGTACTGAATAGACTTTTTACTTGATACTTAAATTTAATATGTATACGGAACAGTAATTGCATATGCTAGAATCTTTTGTGACTTCATGTGGTCTTTCAAAATGTTTGATTTTTTTTTCACTTAATAATAACATTTACAAATGTAATGTGTAATTCAATGCATTACTTTGCAAAAGTAATTGTAATTTAATGCATTACTTTGATAAATGCATGTAATTGTAATTGTAATTTAATGCATGGTTTTGTCAAAGTAATTGCAATATAATGCATTACATTGCAATGTAATTCCCCCTTAGCCTGATATGTATCAAAATATAAAGACATGTATTCGATATGGTAACCAAAGTTCAACTTTCTTCAATTGTGGAGTTGGTGTTAGGCAGGGTGAAAATTTATCACCGTTTTTGTTTTCGGTGTTTTTAAATGATTTAGAAAGCTTTTTTGTGGAAAATGATGTAAAAGATTTAGAATATATATCAAAAAACTGTGAAGAATTGTTACAAGTATTAGTTAGAATCTTTGTCATTCTGTACGCAGATGACACGGTTATTATGTCGGATAGTAAAGAAGAACTACAACATGCACTTGATGTTTTTGAACAATATTGTAACATATGGAAACTCCAAGTCAATATAGATAAAACAAAAATTGTTGTGTTTAGCAAAAGATAGGTACGACACAAATTTGATTTTCATGTATACGGTAATGCTATAGAAGTTGTAGATTCTTTCAATTATTTAGGAATAACTTTTAATTACAACGGTAATTTTTGTACTGCTAGAAAAAGGATTTTTGATCAAGCACAAAAAGCATGTTTGCTCTATACAGAAAGATAAAACATATATCATTACCTATTGATATTCAGTTACAACTTTTCGATGCTGTCATCGCACCTATATTATTATATTCATCAGAGGTTTGGGGGTTTGAAAATAAACAGAATATTGAGAAAATGCATCTGCAGTTCTGTAAAAATATTCTTGGTGTTCGGAATAGTACACCAAATTTTATGGTTTACGGGGAATTAGGTCGGGTTCCTTTGGATATCTCTATAAAACTTAGGATGGCATCATTTTGGTGCAGAACTATTAAAGCAGAGAGCAAACTGTCAAATATCTTTCTAAGACTTATGATTAAATTACATGGAACGAATCCTACCAAATTTAAATGGATTCAATATGTAAAATCTATTTTTGATGATACAGGTCTTAGTTTTATATGGAACGATCAGTTAATTGTAAATAATCATTGGTTAAAGGGTATGGTTAAACAGAGATTAACAGATCAGTACTATCAGCACTGGTTCTCACAGATACATAATGCATCCAGGGGGGAATACTATTCTTTATTTAAACTTGAGTTTTGTTTGGAACCATATTTATTACGATTATTACCTAGGGACAGATATTATATTTCTAAACTTCGATGTTCGAATTTGAAGTTACCTATTGAGACGGGGAGATGGGCGGGGATTGCGAGGGAAAATAGAATATGTGCATTATGTAATGATGGAATAGGTGATGAGTTTCATATATTGTTTACCTGTAAAAATGTTGATGTTTCTGCTCTTAGATCAAAGTTTATATCAAATTATTATGTAATGAACCCAAGCAAGAACAAATTTACCGGTCTGCTGTCTATATGTAACGTACAAGTACAAAAGAAATTATCAATTTTCGTAAAGAAAATTATGAAATACTTTAACTAATTATATCAATTGTCTTTTATGAAATACTATGTATTTGTGTTTTTATCTGTCCTGTCTCGCTATGTATTATCTTATGTTTGTAATTATATTGTCCTCTTGTACACCTGTATGTGTTTGAGGTTATGAATAAATCTTGAATCCTAATCAATGATTTTTTTAAATCGAATTGTGTGTAATGGTCAACTATTACAACAATTATGTAAATCAGTCTAAGTAAACTTGGTTATGTTACAACATGCAAAACACTAACTTAAATCTGACGATCAAAGTCCCTTAACTCTGGACCGGAAATCGGAAAATTAAAAAAAAATCGAAATTAAACTTTCCTTTGTCAATCCCAACAACAATGTAAAGTCTTGAGGAAATAAATCCAGGCATACTGGAGTAAGCGGGCAATATGTGAAAAATTGTCTTAATTCAAACAGTTAAAGTCCCGCAACACTGGAACGGAAAAACAAACAATTCAAAATATTAAAAGGAGCTTTGAATTTTTAATCCAATCAATAATGTAAAGTTTTGGAGAAATAAATCCAGTAATACTAGAGTTAGTGAGCGATATGTGAAACAAATGCCTTTATTCAAAAGGTTAAAGAACCTATATTCTGAAACGACACAGCAAACGCATTTCAAAATCTTTACATAAATCGTGATACACCTGTATGAGGGATTAGTATAGGATACCTGGTGTATGGTAAAATTTCTACGCTATCCAAAAACCAGATTTTTCAGTGCTAGTACTGCTCTTTATTCTAGGCAAACCAGTTTACAGAACCTACCTATTGCATTAATTATTAATTGTTTTCATCCGGAATATGCATGAACTTTTATATGTGCTAAATGGACATTAAGCAACCATCAATCAATCAATAATGTTCAGAAAAGCAATTGACTTATTCTGTTCATTTCTTGGTGACGAACATGGGTATTTGATAAAAATAATTGTAATTTATGTCAATTATTTATGACTTTAATTGGTAAATCTCCACTTTTCGGATCTTAAAAGGTTGTTAATATTCATTGATCTGAAATGGAGGTTTGTTTAGGAAAATGAGATCAATGATAATGCTTGGTTTTAAATTTTGCATGATTGCTATAAAACCTGCCAAATCCATGAGTTCTTCTTACTATATTTTAATATTTTAATTTAAAGAATGTGACATAAATAGACCCCATTCGAAATAAGCCGGAATGCTTTCATGGGCAATCCAGATTAGGTTTCAAACATTTTTTTAACAGATTTTATGATTTAAGTATGTTTACATGTCTGCTATTGTTTTTTTTATACTACTTCAGTTATGTTTTATGTTGATATTTGATCAAATAAATCTATCTATCTATTTTTTTTAGTTAAGGTAACTGTGTTAACACTATTGTCAAAAATGTAACCAAACGAGAGAAAAAAAAACGCCAATATAAAAAAGAAGATGTGGTATGATTGCCAATGAGACAACTCTTCACAAGAGACCAAATGACACAGAAATTAACAACTATAGGTCACCGTACGGCCTTCAATCAATCAATAATGTTCAGAAAAGCAATTGACTTATTCTGTTCATTTCTTGGTGACGAACATGGGTATTTGATAAAAATAATTGTAATTTATGTCAATTATTTATGACTTTAATTGGTAAATCTCCACTTTTCGGATCTTAAAAGGTTGTTAATATTCATTGATCTGAAATGGAGGTTTGTTTAGGAAAATGAGATCAATGATAATGCTTGGTTTTAAATTTTGCATGATTGCTATAAAACCTGCCAAATCCATGAGTTCTTCTTACTATATTTGAATATTTTAAAGAATGTGACATAAATAGACCCCATTCGAAATAAGCCGGAATGCTTTCATGGGCAATCCAGATTAGGTTTCAAACATTTTTTTAACAGATTTTATGATTTAAGTATGTTTACATGTCTGCTATTGTTTTTTTTATACTACTTCAGTTATGTTTTATGTTGATATTTGATCAAATAAATCTATCTATCTATTTTTTTTAGTTAAGGTAACTGTGTTAACACTATTGTCAAAAATGTAACCAAACGAGAGAAAAAAAAAAACGCCAATATAATAAAGAAGATGTGGTATGATTGCCAATGAGACAACTCTTCACAAGAGACCAAATGACACAGAAATTAACAACTATAGGTCACCGTACGGCCTTCAACAACGAGCAGAGCCCATACCGCATAGTCTGCTGTAAAAGGCCCCAAAATGACAAATGTAAAACAGTTCAAACGAAAAAACTAACGGACTAATTTATGTACAAAATAAGTACGTTTCAATATCATTCATAATTAATACTCGGGGAAAATGAATATTGATTGGAAACAATTGGAAAAACTTTGTTATATTTAAACGCATTCACATTCGCTATATCCTTATTTACTTTGGATCAGTTAATGCATAATAAAAGAAAAACAAAGACCGTTGCAATCAACGACAGCCTCTGAATTAGGGACATACTTAAGAACAAACACAAAAGGAATACGGCGGTGTTAATGTGTTTGAAAGTACTCAATTTTCCCATCAATCTACAGTACAGTTGTGTAAAAGTTCATCATAAGAACTTAAGAGGATGGACTCCTCAGATTGGCACGAATCATAAATGTTTACAAAAAGACAAACATACAAAGTACCTTACTGGAATTTAATGGAAGCTATTTCAGAGCCAATTACAACTATATATGGCTTTTCCAGAATAGAATATCAATCAATTATTTTACGAAATACTGATTTGCAAATAGTATTTTCTCTTGTAAAAAATTAAAAAAATGAATAATTTCTAACCTGATGATGTGGAGCAGTTAACGTTTTCTGATGCCACTGTCCCGTGTGTATTACTGGCTTGCACAGACACAATATATAACGTTTCTGGATCAAGTGATTCAATAGTTAACAACACTGCTTCTGCTCTGCCTTGATCAGGCATGAACTGTGAAGTAGTGGTTTGGTTTGTCTGGTTATTCACAAGCAATATTTTAAATTTTTGAATATCATCGCCATTAAATCCTGGTCTCCAAAAAACTGTCATTGACGTTTCCTTGCAAACAACGAAAACATTTGATGGAGCGTCTGGTTCTCGTGTTGGTGCATCCGAAGTAATTGGCGGAGTCACATTAACTTATGGGATTAAAACATTTTTTTGGATAATAAGTTAAAAATGTTATTTGCAGTTTGCAAATTAAATATATACTAGTAACACTTTTATATAAAATTCCAAATTACCGACACAATCGGCTAACATTTCAGCGTTAATGGTCCTTAATATGTCATAAATTCTACATTAACATGATTTACTTACATATGTTCAAACGACGTTGAGGAACACTGCAAACTAGATTCTAGATCTCGTTTCTATTGTTGGTCTATTATAGGGCTGAAGCCAAACGAAGGCACGTTGAGCTAAATTTTTTCAGTTCTTACAATGATTTCGTTGTCTCACCGACGACTTTTTATTTGAATTTATCATTTTCCTCTGTACGATTTTTCACTAACGTTTTGTTTTGTGTAAGATATGAAACAATACTTCAACTTGTAATGATTTGTTTTAAACATATATGTTTGTAAGATATTTGAAATATGCCGGTTAAAATTTCAAATTGACATTAACATGATAATAAAATGCTCTTAAATGCCTTCATTTTGACGGTTATTGAAATACTTCATATACCAATCGAACAGATTTTTAATCATTATTTGAAAAGACAAATTTTGCAAGTTTTTACTCATAAAATGTTATATTACACACGGAACTGTGTTAAATGTGTTAATATGTCAGTTGTTTTCCATTCGTTTGATGTGTTTGAGTTTTCAATTTTAACGTTTGATAAGGGACTTTCCGTTTTGAATTATCCTTGGAGTTCGGTATTTTTGTTATTTTACTTTTTACATAGTACATGGTAGTGTATGTATTTATAATGTAAAGAGCTTTACATTATCCTCCTCTAAAAACTGACACCTGTGTCAAAATACCACTTATAATGATGAGAAACTATAAGTTTGAGGTGGATGCATATTGCTATTAGTATGATATATTATAATGTTTTGTTTTGCAAAGTAAATTTTGACGTTATAATGACGTAAACAGTGAATTGCAGGATGGTGTTACATATTGTAGGACATATTTTAATTCAAACAAATTTGATCGACTGATGTTTATTATTATCACAATACGTTAATGCGTGTTTAGCAATATGTATATACCATCTAGCGTAACGTACATGCTCTTTCAACGGTTATTTCTCTGTACGTGACATTTCTTTGATCAGTACCGAAATCCATGCCACATTTAAATGTTACTCGCTGGTTGGTTACAGTTCCTCTGTAAGTCCATGTGAATATTCGAGCATCCTCTGAACAAGTGCAAGTGTCATTGCATTGGAATATCGTTTTTCCGTCCTGTGGTATCCCATAACACGTTGATGTTGATGGTAGATAACGTATGTTAATGATACTGATATTGTCCTTGTAGAAATATGCTTCTTCTCCCCTCGGCACAACATGAGATGAGCAGTTAAGTGTAAAAGGCTGATCATTGTTGATAAAAGGATCGGAACCAGTCAAAACAAAATCACCTTATTTGATAATAAAAGACATAAATTGCTAAATTTTAGAAATGAAACAAACAAACCGCCTCATGAAAATAGAATTGTTTCCTTTTTTTTCGTAGTACGATACGGTTGTTTTGGTTTTTTTTTAATTTGAAGATAGATCCAAAATAAATGTTATTCTGGTTAATACAAGGTTATACAATCCGTTCAATTTAAGCGGAGTCATACTTTAATTTCTTTTGATTAAATTACAATGTAACCAAAACTGTCATTCGCATACAAAATAAGGAGACCAATTTTAATAGTCAACGCTTTGGGATTTATTATTTAAATAACATACCGGTATTAGAACACTGAATATCTTTAAAGTGATGTTTGTAGGCAAGATTAAAAAAAATGTTTATACTTACTTTGTATGGATATAAGAATCTTTGATGATGTTATTTTCTGCACTCCATCAATATTAATAGCTTCGAAGTAAATGTTTTTGTTGTGGTCATCCTGTCTCCAAGTATACACTAATTTACTGGACGATATGAACTTTTCACCATATTGTTGGGGCGTTTGTGCTTCAGCTTGATTTGTTATATTTAGAGTGTCGATGTACCACTGAATCCAGGCAGCAGGACGACAGGAATCTGTAGTACACGTAAATGTCTGTGTCTGTCCTTCTTCAACGTTTATTATGTCGTTTGTTACAGCTGGAGTGATTGTCAGAGTTGTCACAGGAACTGCGTTACAAAAATTCCTTTTTAAACATAACCATATGATAACTGCAATATGTACTATACAGAACGAGTGTGCTCAGTTCAAGAAAAGAACGTGTCGATAAGACAAACAGATACTTAACAAGGAGTGGAAGGAATATTGTTTCTATGATTAAATGAAGAAAAATATGGTAACTTTCTACTTTGTAATAACATAAACGGTACCATTTGTTTCCGCACCAGATGCGCATTTCTACAATAAATCAGCTTTGCATGAGGAAGATATATTTCGTAATTTAAAATAATTTCCATTTTTTCAACAGCAAATTAGATTATAACAATATCCAAATGTTATGACAATACCGAGGTACTGGATACTGGGCTGGTGATACCCTCGGGGATTGTCAACCAGCAGACGTATCTGTCCAGTGGTAGTAATAACATAAAAGGTACCATCTGCATCAGATGCGCATTTCTACAATAAATGTCTCTATCGTAATGGACGAGGCTAAAATATTTGAAAACCCAAAGTTAATTTAAAAAATGAAGAGCTTATATACCAAAAAGGACAAAAAGTATAGCCAAAGTCGGGCAAGGAATCAGAACTTTGCATAAGGGAGATATATATCTTAATTTATAATAATTTCTAAAAGTTTGTAACTGCTAATTTGATGACACAATATCCGTATTTTCATGCCAGTACTTAATAACTGGCTCCTAGGCTGGTGATATCATCGGGACTAACAGCCCACCAGCAGAGGTATTGACCCGTGGTAGTAGTAACATTAACGGTACCAATTTTCTGTACCAGATGTGCATTTCGACAATAAATATTTTGTCAGTGATGCTCAAATTTGAAAATCAAAAGCTTATTAAAAGTCATGCTATTGTATTTCTAGATGCTGGATTGGTTGCACTTCAACTAAAAAGCGAGTTTCCTTTATATTGTAAATTATTCGGAAAAGGGGTATGAGAACTTCAACCCTTCAGTGGTAGGGTAGGGCAGCTCATACATCCAGTATCTTACCCATTACATATATTTTTGATATTAAAAATTACGAAGCCTTTCAAATATTTTGTAACAAAAGCAGACATATACTGTAGATATAAGAAGATGTGGTATGAGTGCCAAGGAGACAACTCTCCATCCAAGTCAAAATTTATCAAAGTAAACCATTATAGGTCATAGTACGGTTTTCATAGCTGTATTACGCTGTATACAAATTTGATAAATTTCTGGGCATTTACGTCTTAGGTTTTAATCTCGTCCTTAAAATTACTAACATCTGATTTAGTAGTGTCAGACATTTATGATACAGCCATGAAACTTATCAAATATGTCATCTTGATTTCTCGCCCTTATCATATGTATTATGAAGTTTGTTGCAGGACAAAATTCTGTCCCTATCTATGCCCTCAGTTTCAAGTGGCAGTCAAACATTCCGCTCGTCATTACGGTCGACACACTTTGCAAAACTTACTTATATATTTATTGGTAATCTGTTCTCTTATTCAAGAAATTGCCACTGGAAATTAACAAAACAGAATTAATTATTATTCCTTCTTTTCATTGCTTAATTGGTCTCGTGGTAATGGGCTTGCAAGGTAACTTCATATAATTACAATTTGGGTGAATCAACGTACACAATTGTACTGATGAAACATACCGTTAACTAAAAATCGGAACATGCTACTACCATCTCCTACTAGAGGTCCACATCCCCACTGTATGTTCTGAAGTTGATCGTCTACTGCCACACGGATAGTTATGTTGTTTATGTATGTATGTATTTGGATCACATGTAAACCTGTACAAAGGATAAGTTGTGCCACTAAACAAACACAATCTATTTGCGGCGATACCCGTTATTACGGTAATTGTTAGTGTTTCTCTTTGCCACTTGACATACTGTTCTATTGTTGCGCAGCTCAACGTTATATTTGCTTTTTCGTCTCCTTTCAAATTATGAGAAGAGCCTTTTAGATTGTATCGTGCTGAAATATTACCATACAGTCGGGCAGCAATTCTCATAATGGCGTCGAAAATGCGACAAAGCTCACGTGCTTTTTCATTCAAAAAATGGCATTTTTTAGAAACGGCATTGACGTCAACAAAAAGGCTGCGTAAAGACATTTAACCTGTTTCCCATTCTAAACCAAGTATACCCTTTGATGCGGCAGGTTCCAAACTTTCACTACGTTATTATTAAAAGGCTGAAAATACAATATTGCATTGCAAATTTGGTGGTGAAAGATGAAAATACGGGCCGCGGAAGTGACACTTGAAAATAAATAAATGTAAATTGTAATGACACACGAAATAGTAACGTCTTTTCCTATAGATGAGATGATAACTATTGATATTTTGTTGAAAAAAGCCCACTGATAGAAAAACTCGACAGGTAAACCGGCCCAGTGACGATTCAACAAGTCGAAAATTAGGACGTTTAAAGGGGAATAACTCGATCCCAAAACAACAACAATACGACGGTGATCATAAATGACTGATTGAACAAAAGTTTTCCCCTTATTATTGATTTGTAAGCAGTGTTACTGGGCACAAAATGAAAAGTTTAATAAAAATGTGAGTTTCAGTTTTTAAAAATATCATTGAAAAGCGGTCATTTGTTAAATATCGTGTCTGCCTGTTAGTGTATCTGATAACTGTAATATTGGAAGGAGGTTAGTCCCGTCAGGATATAAACAGTGATCATCATGCCCCTCATCTGTTACAAATTAATGTATTTAATTGAAGTAAATGGTGGTCTCTAGAAGCTGACTGTTTGAATTGAACACGTCCACCAGTTTTAATGGTGGATAAACTCTTGATATTTGTAAGTCTTAGAATGGATTGAAAAATATTTCATGGAATCATGGTTTTTATTTCAGTTACTCTTCCCATAAAAAAATGTCATCCTTATTTTTCTCAAGAAAAGTTCATAGTTGTGATTCTTAATTGAATTAATCAGAGACATATTAAACCACATATCTCGGGTTATAATAAATAATTGTTTCTGAATAAATGTCAATGAAAAAAACAATGTTTTAATATTTATTTATTTTAACTAAAATTGAAACCACAGAAATATATTTTTTGTCCATACTGTTCTAACAATATCCAGAGGATATTTTTTTTTGGATAATTTAACTAGCAAAAAATAATTTAAAAAAAATATATAAATGATCTTCATGTTCCTTTAAAAAAATCCAGATGAAATAAATTAAAGTTACTAGATTATATCTGGCATACAGAATATTCTGCAAAGTGCATTTACATGTAATAAATTTTATGTTAAATTTTTCAATAACAAATAATCAGTTCCTTTGAACTGAATCATGAGCAGAACTCTTGTTCATTACCATTACCCCTTCATCAATAATTCAAAAACCCTTCTTCAATCATTAAAAGGGAAAACATGCATTTGAAAAATGCAATTTTGTCTTTAATTATTGGTTTTACAGCTGAATTAAACTATAACCAAATTTAAAAAAGGAAAAACAATACATTTCAATAAAATTCTTTTGTTATTTGCAAATTAATCTAAATGAATTTTAAAAGGTACTTATAGGAATAAATTTAGCCAATGCCAAAATAATATGAATAGTAAATCTATATATTTTTGCATGCAAACTTTTATCCAAATTATATATAATTTATTTCTGAACCTTTTAACTGAAATTAGTAATTTTAGATCACTAAGTCTTTTATTTTGTAGTTTGAAACAAGACAAATAATTTACAAATTTTTATTTTACTTTTAATTCCTAAAATATAAAAAAAGAACTTCTATTCACATGTTTAAAATTGAGAATGGAAATGGGGAGTGTGTCAAAGAGACAACAACCCGACCATAGAGCAGACAACAGCCGAAGGCCACCAATGGGTCTTCAATGCAGCGATAAACTCCCGCACCCGGATGCGTTCTTCAGCTGGCCCCTAAACAATATGTATACTAGTTCAGTGATAATGGACGCCATACTAAACTTAGTTTCTGAAAGTTTGAAAAAAAATATTATGAAAACATTATTTTTGAACCAAAAAAAAATCATTAAAAAGGATTTCAAGATTTTGATTTGAATAAAAAATACATTTTATGATTTAAATAATTGTCAACAATTCTATGTTGGAGATTTATCCCATTTTTCAATACAAACATGATTGTTGTGTTAAGCACACAGGCACTTGTCTCAGAAAAAAAAATCCTATATACGTTAATATAACATATTAAGGTATATTAAAGGAATTTTTTTCTGAGACAAGTGCCTGTGGTTAAGCAGCAGTACACAGAGTTCTACTCCTGGCTTTAACATT